ATTTTGGACTTTCTACCCAGGTAGAGCCCCTCAACCCTGGTCCTGATCAGGGTTGGAATTTTCCCCATGTAGAAGCCGTGCGAGGGCGGATCCAGGGGGGGCCAAAGGCCCCCCCCCCCCCAAAGAAAAACGAAACAATTTTTTTTTTTTTATGTGACATCGCAATAAAGGCAGGCAATGAGTACACCACCATCTTTTCCTCAAAAAAAACCATTGGTTAAAGTGGTCAGAAATTGCCTCAGATCGCACCACAGAGCATCTAGAATCCAACATTTTTTCGGGGCCCTTAAGCGGGCCCTGAACCCCACGCAGTAATTTTTTCGACACACTTTTTTGGGGGGACCAAACATTTTTGGCCCCCCCCCCCAAAAATTGTGTTCTGGATCCGCCCTTGAAGCCGTGTTGGATTCTTGCTTACATTTTGTATGTGGAAGGGGTTACCGAAATAACCGTCTTGTACCCAGGTCCAACATTACATGGAGATATTGGCTAGCGTGAAAGGCCCTTCTCCTGTGACTATCAAAAGTGTGTGCGTTCCAAGTGGCTGTGACATTGCGTGACTAACAGAACTACTTGTACATGTACAGGTAATAATAAAACTTTAATGTAATTCGCATATCTGTGGAGGTACATGTACATGTATGTACAGGTACACGTACATAGTAAATAACATAGTAACTGGTAATTATAAAACCAGTCATCCACCAAGTACTGCCAGAGCAAGGAGTAATTGGGGTTCCTTGCACTTCCAGGCTGCGTGCTCTTGGTACCAATTGTGGAGCTGTTGGACATGGCTACACACAACTCGCACGCTAATCACCCAATTCGTCATTCTGCCATCATGTGCTAATTGAAGCAACAGAATGTTTCTGGAAATTTTATTATCATTCCTTGTTGGAAGTGGTGAGCAATTTGTGTCAATTTTTGTAAATACGTGTACATGTACCATTTTTACACTGGCTCATTCATTTGCGCATTTGTGACACTGGCTTAAATACAAATCACACACCTGAATCGTGATGGCAGGCAATTTGTGACACTGGCTTAAATACAAATCACACACCTGAATCGTGATGGCAGGCAATTTGTAAACAAAGTGTGACGTCATCAGTACAGAGGCTTATTTTCTGTCATTCCCAATATACAGCCCAGAATGCATGTTTGGGGCTGCTCTACACGCTGATGAATGATAACATCAAACAAATCTTATTTCTATAACTTTTAACAGCATATGAAAAAGGTACAGAGTACTACACATACATGTATTTATCAACGACCCCAACCATGTACCAATGCAAGAGCTAGAGTGAGGCAGAAAGCAGTGACATTAGGCCTAAGTGTGAAAATGAACATATTGATGAAAAGAATAATTTAAAATTTCAGAGAACCCAAATTTTCAAAATGACACCTTGTACTACCATTATATATGATCCGTCCCCCGCTTTCATTTAACAAAGAATCAAGGTTTTTACAAAGCACACCTTATATCCTTTTTGTTGTTGCATTTACGTTAGTATTCAATGATATGTCCTATTGCAATGCACACATACACATACTTGAACACATAGTGTTGGAAGAATTGGAAAAAATTCCATAGGTTTTTCAAATTTGTCTCTTATACAGGTAGGCTGAATGCCCAAAGTGGCAAAATTAAGCAGATTACAAACTAACCAGCTGGTAATGGATTGTTACACCCCAGGCCAAAATTATGATTTGCAACAAAGTGCTGCACATAAAAGTCGGTCTATTTTGAGAGGAATATAATCGCCATGGAAACCAGCCAAGAGGGAGGTGGCTAATGACTACCGATGCCCCTAGCTCACAGGAGATTTTCCCGAGTTACACTCGGCATATTTCCCTCAACTCTCCATAGCCCTGGTTCCACTTTCTCGCTCCAATGGAAGATGACTTGGGGCGTTCTACATGTAGTTGCATTAATCTATTCCCACACGTCCCATCTTGATACACGCCCAAGCACCTTTCTGTAGCTTAGACCAAAGAGATCATGTGCTGCATGCAAATAACACTCTCCAGGCCTACGGCGTGTAGGCTATATTTTCCACGTTTAATAGGTAATCATTAACCAGAAGGCTCACACTCTAATATTTGCAATAAGCAAATGCTTTTATAAAACAAAAAGTTCAATAACGCTTGTTTGTTTTTCACTTGTTTGTTTTTCACATTATTGTGATCATTATTTATACAAATAAAGAGCTTCACTTTCGCTGTTTGGTCATGCTCAATCAAACAGTTACATGTAACCAATTAAATTTTGACCAGTGTCAAAATATGCATCTTTTTGCACACTAAACTACATATTTACAATGCAAAAGCATCCAATATTTTATGGACACACATCAAAATACATGCATTCCTTTCTTTGCTCAACCTGAGAGACAACAAGTGCGTGCATGGAGCAGTCAACAGTCCCTCAAAATCCCCATGTGTCAGTGATGGGGATTGCAACAGTCCTAACAGCTCAGTTGCCGGTCGCACAGGCTCGTGAGATATTAAAGACCTTCTTGAAATTAGCTCTCCAGTAGAGCACAGCTATGCGCTGCTGAAGTGTGACGTCACCTCCGCCCCAAGTCAGGTTCACTTCCTCAACAATGGTTCATGGGTATTTCTTAATGACGCATTCCACGTACGTTTATACGTGATCACAGATAGCAATTTCACATCCTAGTTATATACAACATTATCACCACACTAGTGCTTATTTTCACCTCCCAGATCTAGAAGAGATTTCAGCAACTTGTAAAACTTGAATTTACAACCACCATAGCGAAACACAGTGTTTATGTGGGCCACTGTCACGCATGTGAAACAGTAACTACATGTATAGTTGCACCGAGCTGTCCTCTGAGTGGCGTCACAACTTCAACAGCGTAGAGTTAGCATGTGTATATGTACATCCCTTTGGCTCCGAACTAAGCCATTGATCGCTGTGCTTGCTCAATACCCACTATACCAAGCATTTCTTGTGGATCTAACGATGTTTGTTAATGTGCATGTACCATGTACCAGTCTTAAATGTGTCTATAATATGCTGTATAAGTTTCAGATATTCTTGTCTCTGAAGGATTTTTGTGTGTGATGATTTGTAGAGGTGTAATGCTTTGAGAAATGCATAGCCCCAAACTTTTATCATGCAATTTGTTTTCAACTTTGTAACATCATGGAATTTGAATGGGCATAACACTGCCTAGGAAACTTCATTTACAAAAGTTAACCCGTCATTGTGAAGGGAAAGACCTGTACATGCACTTTAACAGTATAAAAACTACTTCAATCAGTTGCCAAGAAGTCTTTGTTTTTGAAAGAACGCGTCACATTTGAGATTTCTCAAAAATATTTTGAAAGAGCACTTTCGCAACTCATCTCTATTTTAAATTCATTCTGTGCTTGCAAAGGAGCCGTTTGTACCAGTGGAACAATGAGCTGGGAAGTTTCTTCCAAGTCCTTCCTGAGTTCCTGTCTCATCTTTCAGGCTGGTATTGATATAGGCATGCTCTGTAAATAGTCCGTTCCTATACGGGCATCTTGTTTTGTAGCACGGACAACACAACTGCACTTAATCGTCAAAGGAAAATAAAGCCAAAACGCGCCGTTACTCTCTGTACATGTTTTTCAAAATATATGACAATTTCAATGCGCTTTGTTGCGCATCGGTATCTCATATTTCCCATGCGTTTCTCAAATTCCTGCGACAAAAATCTGAAAAAAGGTACCTTTATTCATCAAGAAATGGCCGTTGTTGGCACGCCCAATGATCTTTGGTCGTGATCGGGTCTCGAGGAAAAAGTGTAACCAATCGTATCTTAGGTGTCATCCCTTGGGGCAAAAAATCGATCGTAAATTTCGCGGTCGGTGCAACATGACCGCCATCATATTCTTCGCGACTTCCAAAAGAACCAAAGGCATCACGAGATGGTAGATTGACACAAAACGTACACCTCTTTAAGAGAAACAATTAAGCGCACCGTAAAGAAAAAAAAATCAACTTTTTTAAAATCTTAAATTTGAACCCAAGAACTGGTCTGATACGCAGGCACCTCAGGATTGTCTTTAATCAACAATATGGCTTTTAGGTCACATCCATGATCCAGTGTGTAAGTTGATCCAAATGGGTGGAATGACAACAACAAAAAACAGCCCAAAGGAAGGGGAAGCCTGAGAAAAATCCAATATTTAATCCATGGCTTCCTTCTTATCACGACCGTGAAAAGTACAGTCCACTTCAAACTGAGCAATGAGTGATACCCGGCAATTTCAATGGCGCTTCAGTACGGGTGGACCGTCACAGCAGAGTGCATACAAACCACAAAGAAAGCTCCCCTCGGCTTAAGTACAGTATCACTCTTAATGAGGGCAATTTCAACCAATTGAAAGCCAGCCAAAACATACAGTTTTCTCTTTAAGGCCTTGGGCACCGATTCACGTTTCAGCGATGGCGTGTCGTGGCATTGCAATCAGTGCAACTCATTCACTGTGTGCCTTGACAAACATCGGAAGACAGACATTTCAAGAGCGCTTCACCCGCAAACAGTGGGGACTATGACAGGTTGTACATGTATGTCAGGCAATATACGTCCAATTCTGAGGATTGGTTCTCAAATGAGTGGCATATAAGAAGGTAATAGTAACCAATAAAATCACCAATCAATATAAACTAAAAGCTGCTGCAAACTGGAGTGAATGACATGTAACTGTCAGGATCCTAGCAGAACCATTCTTTGCCTTGTTTTAGAATTGCAATGTACTTGTTGCTTATTCCCCATGTAGATAGAAGCATGTAGCTGTTTGTTTAGCATTCTCTGAAGAACTCAAGGGAAAGTGTGTTAACAGTTACCAGATCAACCCAAATTATGTGCAGGGAAACTGTTTTTGTTTTCGAAGGAAATGGGGCAAACTCCCTAATTTGAAAATACACTACACTGCACCTTGGCCTGGTTCTTATCCCCCGATCAGGGGATTTTTCCCATGAATAATATACCTACCTGCTGATTATCTACTGTGACTCCAAAGACTCCATTCCCTCCTCCTCCTCCCCTTCTCCTTCCCCTTCCTCTCCCTTCGGGGTCTCAGCTGGGGCCTCGTAGGCCTTCTCACTTGGGGTGACCACCACTCCATCCCAAACGGACATCTCGGTTGCTATAGCTATGGACAGATAGAAGGAATAGACAGCAAATATGACAGCATGTTCATGGTATGCATGCGACAAGTGTCAACTCCTGGATCCTACAACAGCAACCACTGTGCAGGCAACCAAAAAATGGCATAACATTCTTCATATTTGAATATTGAAAGGATGTGGGAGGGTATTAGGATTTATGACAGAAGTACAAAACAGTACACAATACCCTATTGCTCCTTTTGTACTTTTCCAATTCATGTCTTGTTCGCAATTTAACCCATTACATTTATAATAAAAGAAAAGAAAAGAAAACAGACACACAATAGGAACAGTGCGTTTGATACATCTATTGTTTTCTCAAAATCCCATACCGGGTATTTTTTTCTTCAATTTCCATTACAGTGCCTCTTTAAGATCGAGTATTGTGAGACAGTATTTGCACTCTGCAGAAGAAATATTGTCAGGTTAGTTTATGAATGTATGCTTTGATCATCAGAAACATTCTGTTAGAATGCTTAGTGGTCTGACCAATAGCATTCCCAATTATTGAACTGATTTTTCGGTTACACACCCGTGTTCCGACACACCAATGTTCCAACACACCTATGTTCTGACACACACCCTAACCCTAACCCTAACCGGAACATAGGGGTGTCGGAACATAGGGGTGTTGGAACATAGAGCAGTCACCAAATTTTCTAAGGTAACTCCATGCTACATGTTGATTTAAGTTGGTTTAAGTTGGGATTTATTATGCTCAACATTATTTTTTTTACTTCATGCTTGGTAAACCTGAACAACACTCCACCACCACTGGGGTACTAGGAAGAAACAACATACATTATCATGACATATGTCCATGTATCTGGAATGGCCACTATCCAGATACACATATGACCAGAAATGCCCCAATGTCCATTGAAAAGATCAAAGTGTAACAAACTTCCAGTTGAATTTGAGATGTGAATAACACAAGTTTTCATCAGGGAACATAATGTAACAATGAGTAATTTGAATGTCTTCAATTTCATCATTCTCTTCTTTACAAATCCCTGAACAAACCCGTATTTGTGCTTGAAAACTTCTGTGGTGTAAACACTCATGTGTTACACGTACCTAACAGTACATGTAGCTCTATGCATGTAGCTCTATGCACGTATGGAGCTTTGGATGCACAGGAATCCAACATGCATTACAGTTGATTGCAAATGTACTCAGTTTCCGCTTGGTCGCAATACCTGATATAAATTAAGTCATTCCATGCAACCCCGTTTCCGTATTTTCTTCTCTTTCCCTGGGCATTGTGCCTAACAGAATCAATGCACAACTCCATTTATCATGCCCCAAGATTCCTCCATTGGTATGCATGTTGTCCTTTTATCCCCTACTTCACTTTCTCTTTTTATCCTTTCTTTACCCTCTTCCGCAGGAAGAATGCAGTTGGTAACATGTGTAGGGAATGCCATTGCTGCGGAAATTACATCACTGACAGAAACCTGACACTATATTGCCGCTAACTGGAAATCCAAAACTAGGGCTCTGATACACAGCACACAACGAATAATTCATATATTGAAATTCAAGATAGGATATTTAAAAAGTGTTGAAGATACATGTACCGTACCCCTTACATGGTTGGATAGTTGCAACGGGTATGTTATTACTATCATGACATACATGTAAAGGCAACAAAGTAATGGAATATTGTGCTAAATTCAATAACTCAAATGAAATTTCTTACTTACTTTTTTTTTTAATTTGTTTCCAGAGGAGCTTTGTATTGTGGCAAGTACAAGAAATATAAATATATATTTGGGAAGAGAATAAAAAGGACTGGACAATAGTTATAAAACCATAAATGAAGTGATTTTAGAGGTATTCATGTAAAATATTACACCGTGAATTACACTTGTGGATGAGCACTACAAGAGGCCATGTCAGTAGGTCTGACAGCCGATTGCATCTTGCCTGGGCACGTCTGAAATGGTATTAATTTAGCAAATTGTTTAAGGCAAGGGATTGAGAAATATCCTAGTTTAAAGCATGCACACGACCCACGTAGATCCTACAGGGGTGGATAACAGCTCTGCAAATACTAGGATTCTTGCAATATCCCCCCATAAGACACGAGTGACCTCAACCAGCAGATTTATTATTACATTTCTCCTGAGCGTCAACACTATGCAACGCATATGAAAAGAGAATGCTGGGCACTAGTACATGTACATCTTGGTTTAGTATCTTATTTTTGTATAGCGAGTTGCGACAGAATGACAGGAGAATAACAGAAACATAAGAAAATTGACAATAAAGAACATTCTTGGACACATAGCAAACTACATAATAAAACATGTAGGCTATGTATTTGCTACTTAATCAAGGTCATAATTATTAGTCATAATACATCGGAGCTACACCTCATCTCCACTTGGGCATTTCAAAGTATGACGATTCACAAACGTGCACCAGGAATGTTGCACAGGGAGAGATTTGGAAGAAGGTCCCAATCACACAGCACAACGCTGAGAAGTGACAAGTTACCGGAAGTAACACGTTTTGCTTTGTACATTGTAAATGATACTCACTCAGGCAATAAGTGTATCTTTCTTTATCACAGTAATTCAGCACCAAGAAGATGAAGCAATATACATGTACATTTTAAATGCGTAAAGTTGTGTAAGTTTGCATCAATTTCACTCCAGCTAATTTAATCTACATAATGGCAGATGACATCTGTAGTTGATAAAGAAGTGTACAGTTTGAGAGTGAGATGCCATACCACAGGAAGAGTGCACAGCCATGGAGACTGTGGATGCCAGAATACTCAATTAGGATGTTTCACAGCTACTCGTTTACTACACTCCCGAGGACAATGCTTTGTGTTTTCCTTTGTCCCTGTAATCTAACACTCTCCCATAGACTAAGCACACAAACCTACTTTAGAGGACCGTTTTGAACAAAAGACCCAACGCCTGAGGACTAAAAGGATCTGTTGTTCTCCCTTTGTGTGTTGTTCTCCCTTTGTGCGTCAGTGGTAGAACATGTACACACAAGCACGTTCACACCGTCGTCGTGGATGTCCTATTGTCCCTCTTTTGTTTGTACTCTTTACTTTTTAGGAAGACTCCCATAGGTTTTGTACACGACCCCAATTGCGGACGTACATGTACGTATGCTGGGAATCGTGGACGATATTGTTCTCTTTTGTTCTCTGGCATTTTTCGTCCACAGTTTGAATATGAACACGCCCACCCATACATGTAAATGTACACATACTTGTGAAAGTGTTTGTAAAATTTGAAGTACCGGTAAATTCTAACTGATACTAATACATCAATACAGTATATAACAGCAATTTTACCAAGCAGTTAGGCCATTGGACTTTTGAAACTTGAACAAGTTGTATCAAAGAAGTGCATTCAATTACCCCGGTATGTGCACAAATCTAAATGAGGAGAATGTGATCAGCACACACTGCAGAGAACAGTTTGCTTTAGTACAGACAGGTACGGTAGCCAACAGAAGAAAAAGTGTAATCCATCATGATGCAGATCCACATAAACCTAATCAGTGTCAGTATACAATGAGTTTAATCTACTTTCATCCACACAGGGAGATGGTTCATCTTCTAACAAGAGGCCAATGAAACAAGCACACCCACTTATTAATCACCCGGCATCCATTCTGGTTTGTCAGAATCCCACAGACTGCAACATCAATAACCAGTGAAAAGCAGCCAGTTTGATCATTCAATTGGATTAGTGCGTAATAACTTTTATGGACCGTAATTTATTTCATGCCATTTTCCCCGCAGTTTGCCAATGTATAATTGCTAAGCTTGCTGGCATTATGCCATCAGGCGTTGGATCAAGTGCAGCACGTGCAGCTAGCCGCCCACTGTCACTGTGCCTGGACTGCTGGCTTCAAAAGGCTGTGTGTTGACATTGAATCATCGTATGAGGCCCAAATATCCAATTATTCGCTCATCCCTCTAAAGATTTACCTCTGTCATCATTTCAAGCTCAAGGCCAACCGGCGGGCCTTTAAAGTTCAAAGTCATTAGTGTCAATGGACATCTCCCATTTAGTCCTGTCTTTACATCAATTTATGAAATTAAATCATGGACTTACTTTGCTATTCTATGTAACCGACCCATAAGCAAAGTACTGGCCATTCACAGAGATACAAATAAAAAGACTACACATGTTTGTGTCAATGCATGATCTTTGTTCAAGTCATTTGGCGCGGACGTGTCTTTTGTCAGTGCCAAATACGTAGCCAATAAAAATGGTACTTTTTGATAGACTGTACTTTGCCTGTGAAACCTTTTAACTATCAATTTCTTCTTTGAAGAAACATTGTTCAGAAAGAACTGCATGTGGTTAACATTTGGAACAGTATTATGTGTACTCATTCAGGAGAAGGAGAGAATCTACTGTCTAAAACAACCAGAAAAAAACCTTGAACTTTCACTTCTTCTTTTTTAAATTCAGAACCAATAAATCTTTATTTAAGTGACTGCCAGTGGCATGGTGTTATCTGCAAACCACATTCTAGGTATTTACATGTACGTAACGAAAGTTTTACCCTCTAAAAAGCCATTATTAAAGATTCATGGATCTCAGTGTTTTACTGCAAGAAGAATCCACACAAGAGCCTTTGTGATGATTATCTATTTTAATTTTTTTTTTAATGGTGCGTTACGTATGGGGCCGTAGATGCCCAACAGTAAAACACTGAAATCCATGAATCCTAATGGCATTTTAGAGAGTTAAACTTTCATTATGTATGGGACATAACCTGCGCGTATTCTTGGACATGCCCATGAGTAATATGCTGGTCAACCAACATCTCTGCCGAATTTGAGGACAATCAGCTGATAATGGGGGGGGGGGGGGGAGAAAGAAAGTCCCCTCCCTCCTCATGTACATGTACACGGTGGTGCCAGAAGGACTGTCTGAAAGCATTATTATAAATACAGCATCCGAGATGACTACAATGAAGCTGATGGATAGACTACGTG